AAATTTATGAAGTCAATTAGAGGATTCTGATGTCCCGCAGCTAAACCTAACCGTTTCTGAGATATTTAACAATTTCTATCAAAAATGATTTTTGCAGAACGAGAAACAAATATGCGCAGCAACAAAGCAATGTTTGATACTAGTCCGTTTTCCTACTCCCTCATAATTTACTTTAACTAATTGAACATAAAATTATACATATGCACAATATTCAATTTTACACAAAATTGTCCAATTTTTAATTGTAATTGTAAATAATATAAGTTTATAAAAATCGATGATTTTCAAATTAATTTAATTTTCTTTTTCTTCAAGTTGTAATAACATAATTATCGAAATTTATAATTAAATTTGTCAAACAGATTTTTTTCTAGCAAAAAACGATTAATGGACTTTTTAAAGAATTCCGTATAGGTATTTACATTTACATCTCAAAATCGGTAAATTAATGCAATACCGATTTCGGATATAACCGGAATTTTCCGGTATTCCAGTTGAATTTCAAATTTTTGCTAGGCATAACAGATCGACGAAGTTCCTGGTGGGGGTCCCTGCATACATCATATCCTAAACGCACCTTAAAATGTTTGTCCCTTCAGACTGCGTTTTAACAAAATGTCCCCGCTCCTATCCACAATTTTCCCATCAATATCAAATATTTAAAACCGAGACTCGATCAAGATAAAAAGGATGATTCTTTTGATTTCATGATTAAATGATGAATGGATGTGCTATTCCCGTTTTGTAAGTAAGCACCTGCTCCTCGTATATATTTATTAGTCGATGATCCGTGCTTTTCGAGACATCCGGTATAATAAATTTCGGTCCACCGTCTGCAAAAAAGGCGCCTTAATACACCTCCCATTGTAAAGCAAGATACGATTTGATCGGTTAATTGATAACGCTAAGCGTTTCAGACTAGAAAGCGTTCAAAATCCGATAGGAATTTTTCGAATCTTTTCAGGCACGGGCTTACATCAACTTCGAACTTTCGCTTAAATATTAGCCGTTAACAATTCTGATTTTTTTACGTAGCATTATTTTCTTACCAACCAAAACCAACCACACATTAATTATATTAACCTTTATGTTTTCTCCTGTACGTTTTTTTTTAACTTCTTTTTTTTTGCTATGTAGAACAAATAACATTTGTATTTTATGCGGTTTTCGAATCATGTGAGTTATGTACAATGATTTCTACGTAATAAGGATAAGACACCGTGAGATCTACGATGTCAGCATTTGGCCACGATGGTACTACGAAGAGACCGTGAGATTCACATCGTCAGCTTTTCGGATACGAACCTATAAAGTCTTAGTTTTAAGTAATATGATTATTCTTGTTGTAACTGTTGCTGCAGAAAACTCTTAATTTTCGATTGTATTTTGAAAATAAAGTTTTTAAAAAGTAATCTCGTCTTCGCTTGAACATAATTGGCGCAGTCGGTAGGATTGTGCCCTCGGAATTCGGAAAACGAAAAAGCAGAGACAATTCGCATGTGTACGTCGCATCGTGCGGAAAAGTGACACTTACCGAATTAGGCTACCCTGAGGAATGGTTTCAACCGCTACAGCGCAATCCAAAGAACTTGTTGGTGAACCCAGAGAAGACTCTCGTAGGCAGTGTGCAGCAAAGGATCAGGGAAGGGAAAACCGTAAGTGCGATTTTTTCCTTTCGCCTCTTTAAGATCCTCTGTTAAGGCTTTTAATAGGGATAATTTTAGGCAAGACGTATCGGACGTCAAGTAGTTAGTTAAATTGTGAAACAGAAACAAGCTGCGAATATTTCAAAGCATTAAGTAGTGACGTAGAATCTAAAATTAATGAAATTTTCAAAAATCTAACCTTTAGTGAAAGAAAAATATCAGAAAAAATGACAGACCCAAGTAAATTGGAATTTATTTAAATTGCAAAACATTCAACCTTACGAAGGTGATAACAATACCTTAAATAAGTTTATCAACAGATGCGAAAGCTTAATTAGTGATTACGCTTCCCTTGCAAATTCGGAATTAAAGAAACATATTTTTGAATGTATCCAGGAAAAACTCGTAGGTAGAGCCGCAGTTCTAGTAGGTAATCGCACAGAAATTAGTGATTGGAAAGCATTGAAAGATGCATTGACTCAATGTTTTTCCGATCGCCGAGATCTGAATTGTTTAATCCAAAAATTAGTTAGGACTAGGCCCAATAAAAACGAACACTTGATAAATTTTGGAAGTAGACTTCAATTATTAAGGAGCGACATTGCACAGCGTATAAGTAACCAGTCTAAATATACACCGGAAGAAAAACTTTCATATATTAAACATTATGATAAAAACTGCCGTAAATCGCAGGGTGCACAGGCGTCTTAAAAAACAATATGCATTTAAAAACACCGCAAAGTCTCGAAGACGCCATGGCATATGTAAGTGAATTCGAAAATTTTGAAAGGTTGTATGGGACTCTGAACGAGCCTTATAAATCTCAAAAACCGAATTTCCAAAATTTAAACAGTGCACCGACAAATCAACATCTTCAAAATTTTTATAAAAAACCGTTTAGCAATAATGCGTTTGTACCACCCAATCTCGCTCAATTTCCAACGTCTAGGACACCTTCCATAAGACGAGACCAATACCGAAATGTCCACATAATCAATCCGAACCCAATAAATCCAATCAGCCGGAGCAAACTCATTCCATTATGTTTGCTTCTTGAGGAGGGAGGAGTTATGTACAATGATTTCTACGTAATAAGGATAGGACACCGTGAGATCTACGATGTCAGCATTTGGCCACGATGGTACTATGAAGAGACCGTGAGATTCACATCGTCAGCTTTTCGGATACGAACCTATAAAGTCTTAGTTTTAAGTAATATGATTATTCTTGTTGTAATTGCTGCTGCGGAAAACTCTTAATTTTCGATTGTATTTTGAAAATAAAGTTTTTAAAAAGTCATCTCGTCTTCGCTTGAACATAATTTGTGCCAAATTTAGTTTTAAATATAATACTTTTTTTAGGTAGGTTGGCGGAATAATTGTGAACGCAAATTGAATGAAGGTGTACGAGTTAGTCACCTTGAATCTCATTTATTTCGTAAATAAGAATGCGGAGAATTGTTGTGCCAAATTTAAAAGGGAGCTAAAGGCTGATACAGATGAGAAGATCTATAACACTCTACATGGAACTTAAGTTATACCATGGCTTTGATGACCACAAAAAATTATCAAGACGTCTCTAATCAGCGGTGTAGTTAATTATTCTTGTGTCCCTTTATTTTCTTTTCGTTCAACTTAGGTACCAAATCCGTCCCTGATATTCCTCCCATAAAAAAGCAATTAAAACACGATGAAAGTATAGTCCGTATCATTATAAATAACAGAGGCTATATTGTTTTCGATTTGGAATCTGGTATTGAACGTATTGTTGCATGATGTGTGGATACCAGAGATGTTTACGGACTCATTTTCAAAGTCAGGGTCGCATTCAGACATGCAAGTAGATGGGTTTCGTACGTGACAAAAATAATAACCAATCTTATTAATGAATTATTGCTGATTAAATTTGAATTTCAAAACGATATTGCTCCTTTGTTCATCTTCGAGAATGCACAGCGGGACGCTGCAAATCTGTTAGAAAAAAATGCATTGTTTATGCGCCATGTTACCCGAATATTAGATGAGAATAATTGTTCTGGCAAATACTAAAGGGTGCTTAAAACATTGTTGTCATTACAACGAAAATGCTGTTAGGAAAAAGTCATTTTTTTAAATTTTTGTAGCTTTTTCTCTGACTTCATTTTATATGTATATTTGGTAATATGTTCTTATTCTGTAAAGTAAACATATGATTATAGAAAACAATGCTAAAGACCGCAAAATTTTAACGAAAACATTGGGCAGGTGGCAAACGGAGCTCGGATGCGAAAGAAGGAGGAATGCTGAACTATGCATAGGCAATTACGTGCAGAGAAGAAAGAAAACAGTATAGCAGGTCAAGTTCCTGAATGTATTAAGAAAAAGGCACACCTAGATTAAGATAAAGGCATAGAACAAGAGCTGGTAGAAAATTAAATCTAGGATTAGACGAGGAAAGCAGAGAGACTGGAGAGAAATTTTAAGGCTATGGGTCCAAGTGCCTGTTTAGTTAGCGGTCTACCTAAGGCTATTTAGTTTAATATGCGGTCAGCTCAAGATAATTTGGTTAGTTTGTTGTTGCATTAAATCCGAAATAAACAACTATCTAATAGAACTCATACTAAAACAGCACCGTTATATCTTATCGTTTCTATTTCTAACGACTTCGCTGCTCGAAATGAACAATTTGTGGCAATTAAAAACATATTTTAAATATAAAAAAATTTAAAAAATGGAACAATATAGGCGAGTGATTTTTTTCTATTAAAAGAACAATCCAAATCAAAAATCTAAATTTGACATTTACTAAAATCAGAACTAAAATCGTTTATTATTTTGAACCAGAATTTTTTTGTTTGGTTAGTTTTGGTTAGTTTTGGTTAGTTTTGGTTAGTTTTGGTTAGTTTTGGTTAGTTTTGGTTAGTTTTGGTTAGTTAGTTTTGGTTAGTTTTGGTTAGTTTTGGTTAGTTTTGGTTAGTTTTGGTTAGTTTTGGTTAGTTTTGGTTAGTTTTGGTTAGTTTTGGTTAGTTTTGGTTAGTTTTGGTTAGTTTTGGTTAGTTTTGGTTAGTTTTGGTTAGTTTTGGTTAGTTTTGGTTAGTTTTGGTTAGTTTTGGTTAGTTTTGGTTAGTTTTGGTTAGTTTTGGTTAGTTTATTGTAAACATATTTGGGAGAACCTTGCAGCATTGCTTTTTAGAATGAACTCGAAAGTTCTAAGGACGTTATCGTAAATTGACTAAAACATTTATTAATAGACATTAAAATGAACATTTGACCATAAATCTGCAATGCGTCTCGGTTTATTTAAATCCTGGATTGACCTTTTCATAGGTTACTTGTTAATTATCGTTAATTTTTAACATCCCATTGGCCAATTTCCAGGCGAGGATTTTTGACGTACCAAATTAACGTGCTTTAATTTAGCGGCACTTAACACTTCAAATTGCGGCAGTATTATCATGTCTTGGTAACTGGATAATGAATTAACCAAGGTGAGTCTTATTTTTATTTTTTGTTTTTACAGCAGGAACGAGAGATGTTTGAGGTGTGCATGTTGTAATTTGACATTAAGTGTGGTTCTTGGGTACATTGATGTCATTGTTTTTATGATATCTGGGCATAATTTAATATCTTTTTCGGATTAAGATTTGAAAAAGTTTTTGATACGTCTATGCAAATATTAATAAGGTTTTTTCAACTTCTCTGGATTCTACTCGAAATTATCTTTTCAACTTTTTTTTACCCAAAGAAATTATTATTCTTAAATAAACAAAACATTTTAAAACACAAGAAAATAGTTGAACTTATTAAATTAAACTGAAACTGTAATGTTCTATTTGTTTATTGTTTTTTACTGTATGAAATACAATAGTTTTGCCGATATAGCTAGTAGAGGTATGCAGACGCCATGCCTATGACGATAATACAGGAACTTATGAAGCAAAAATTATTAAAAAAATTGAGAAGATCCAAAGTTTTTAACCTATGACCATGCGGCATTCATCAACCAACATAAGTTTGGATGCGCCATTTTAACGGCAGTATTTTCTCCAAATATGCCTGGATCTCGTTAAATGTTCTGGAAAAACGAGTTAAATGTGTTAAAATCGCTGTTTAGAAAAAAAATGGCGTATAGTGGGTGCAATGTACAGGCATGCGCGGAACATCATTACCTTCTCTTTAAAAATATCAATGCTGTCTGCGGCGCATGAATTTTACCGTAGTCCTCCTCCTCTTTTCATTAATCTTTTCCCAAGGATGTGGTGACACCATTTATATTTGATTCAGCAGCTCATTCCATGCTTGCCTACTTTGTGCATTCCTTTCGCCATCATGCAATCTTATATTTATTAAGGGTTTTGTTTTGTTAGTCCCTTCTATGATTAGTCGTTTCATTGTTCCTGAGCATCTAGCTATATGCCCCAGGTACTGCAGATACATGCATTTTATTCTAGTTAGGAGTCTTGTAGAGGGACCAATTTCTTGTAACAGAGACACTTTGGTTCGATGCTCTCACCACGAGACTCGTAAGAGTCATCTATAAGCCCACATTTCGAAAGCATCTCTTTTTGTCTGTTTTGTTTAAAGTCCATGTTTCCGCTGCGTACGTACGCAATGGGGAAAATTGGAGCATCAACTAGACGGCGTTTAGTTGGTTTTGTCCTTAAATCCAGACGGCGTATTTCGGTCTCATATCTCCCAGTGTTGGTAATTAAGGAACCAAGACTAACCAAAACTGTTTCTCACTTTGTAGCCAGCAATTTCTAATGTTTGTGTAGAATTGTTGTCTTGTCTATCAACAATCATTATTTTCTTTTTCGATTTATTTATTTTTAAGCCATATTTTTCGCTAATAACAGACAGTCTGCTCATAATTTCTGTTATGGCCGGTATGGTTGACGCTATGACCAGTGTGTCATCGGCGTAGCGCAGTTTGGTAATCCGCTTTTCGCCCACAGATATTCCGTTTTGCCACTCGCCTAGAACCTCCCTCATGACGTATTCGCTATAAGTGTTAAATAAGAAATAACCAGCCCTGTCGAACCCTATCCCCTAATAAATCCCGTCGATTCTGCGGACTAGTTGAACCAGGTGTTTTTGCGTTCCCATTTGCTCCATTATGGTTCACATTTTACTTTATCAATAAGTTGCCTGGTATTTAATATTTGTCCCCTAGTTTCTTTCCTTGGTTCAAAACCTGCTTGCTCCTCTGGAAACTGTGGTGAAAAAAATGATTTTAAACGGTTGGGTATGATATGCAGGAAGATCTTACTGGCGTGAGATATAACAAACTATTCTGTAGTTGTTGCACTCCGAGTGCGAACTTTTTTTGAATATTTTCCAAACAAAGACTCTCCAGTCTTCCGGCTACCGGTAGGGGGTAGGGGGTAGGTAGGTAGATTAGGAGTTTTAATATTTTATATTATCTTGAATATATTTCAAAATTTCTTTTTTTTTAATTTTTGCAGAAGGCGCATTGTAAGAAAAGAATGACATGGACGTGAGCAATTGTTATATTATTATGGGGTGGTCAAGGATAGCACGTCACATGTTATTGGTTAGAATTATATTTCCATTGAGAGGGTTGTTAATATTACACACGGACCATCCACAATAAAAAAAAACATCAAAGTCATGGTCTTATTATTACAGCACACGTATCACGAGATCATATATAGATAAAAATTCTCATTTATAACTATCGTATTAAAAATTAATTATTTTGGCATCGATATGTTATTAAGCCGAAAAAATCGTGTAATGTTTCGACAACCCGGTCTATTGTGTAAAAAATTGCTACAGTTTAATAGCGCCGTTTACCATTTTGTTTTCTATATTTACTTCGAATGTCCACCGGTGCTTTCTCACGGAACACAAAAATGTTTTTACGATATTTTCCTATCAGGTCGTTTACTTCCTGTTAATATAACATTCCTACGATTTCGTACGGGTGTTACATGCTTGTTTTACAAAAAGCTTTCTCATCTTGTGATGTCGATTTTTTCCTCGATTTTGCAGTCATGTAGTAATAATATTATGCTTAAACTATGAAGTATGCGAACATTTTAAGTTATTGGCAAAAAAATTGAGATTATTAGACTTAAAACTTTTTGAACCAAGTTTGTCAATAAACAGGGTGGACCTACCAAGATGGCGAAAAGTATTAATACTGAACGTTTTTAATTTACTAATTACAATTACTCTAATATAATGTTTAGTATAATCAAAATAAATAAGAACTAAAAGTTCAGATTTTCACGAAGTTATATATTTTTACATGACAATTGTTTCGACAACACCGTGTCTTTATCAAATGTAATATTTACTAACTACCTGCTGCTATATATACCGAAAAATGTCCATAAAAGGTTCATTAATAAAAATAGCTTTCAGAACTAACAACACGATAGGAAAATATTTAAAAAACAATAAATCGAAATGTCCAAAATCACAAAAATCAGGTGTCTACAGGTTGAAATGTGGATCTTGTCTTAAAATTTATATCGGACAAACAGGTAGATCCTTCAAGAAACGCATTAACGAACATATAAGAATGTTTAGAAACAATAGTCTAGATTCTAATTATGCTACACACTTAAACACGGAAAAACACATTTTGGACGACAATTTTGATATTTTACGTACAGCCACAAAAAGTAGAAAATTAAATTTATTGGAAGCCATGGAGATTAACAAAATGCTTGCTTAACGATCAATTAGATTTAAATACCTGTCCTTTATTGAACTTAAATTCTCGCAATAACATTAATTAAGGTTTTATGATCATTTTTCGGTATATATAGTAGCAGGTAGTTTGTAAATATCACATTTGACACGGTGTTGTCGAAAAAATTGTCATGTCAAATTATATAATTTCGTGAAAATCTGAACTTTTAGTTCTTATTTATTTTGATAAATGGATTTTCATCAAGTAAAAGCCTCCTCAGTTCAAGTTTAGTATAATGTAGATTTTAAAGCTGACAGATAGAAACGAACATAGGTGTAACATCTCTTTCTTTCTGGTGTATTTCTTGAGTTGAATGGTAAATTATTAAACAAGAAGCTTTAAAAGAAACTTCTCTAAAAATAAAGTATATTATTAATAGTGGAGAATTGAAGAAAAAGAATAAACGTAGGAATTTTCAAGCTCACTGTGTAGAAATAGTAATCAGAACCTAATAAAAAGGAAAATATATTGTCTTTATCAAAGCGAACTTGGTCCTACCTTGGATAAACTGAAAAGAAGCTAGAAGAAGATGAAACCAATCTAAATATAAGCCGTGCCACCCTCCATAGAATTGTTTTAAAATGGAATTTAACGAAATCACACCGATTACGCACTTGTAGATTTAATTACCTTCAAGAAATTAAAGATATAGATTAGACAAGAGATCCATAATTTGCCTTGATGATGGTTGATTCCATTCAAAATTGTCAGATGAAAACACCTTCAAATAAAGGAAAACGCATCACCATGATACACGCAGGCGGATTTGTCCCAAACTGTGGTCTGTAAAGAATTAAGGCTTCTAGCTAGGATTATCATGACAAACTTTTTAGAAAGTTGGTTTCAATACAAACTTTTAAAAAATATTCCCTATAATATTTGTTAGAAAATTATATTTATTTCGAATTTACTTACGAAAAAGCGTAACTTTTGGAAGTCCTAAAATCATACTGGGCATACTGTTTTACTTCTTCCTCCACATCATTGCATGTTTAACCCCCTTTGTAAAACCACGTACAATCAAAGGTCAGAGCAGAAAATGTTACTCCCACTTAAAGTCCCAGTGTTATAAATTTGATAAAAAATGTAATTAACAACATACCAAGTGAGAGCTGGCAAGAGGAATTAGATTTAGACATTTAGAATAAAAATAGATAGTCCTAGCTATGATTTTATTGTATATATTTAATGTCATTGTTTTTTTTAGTACACCCACCTAAAAAAACAAAAAAATATATATTATTACCAAAACCTTTTAGAGTCCGCCCCTAATGTTCTATACTACTGGACCCAAGCTTTATTGCCGTCGGCAGGTAACTTCCATAATTGAGGGCAAAAGCCAGCGCGATGAAGATTGAGACAAACAGACTCTGGATTTACCTTTTTTAGTAACGTATTTTAACAGGGATAACCTCACTTTACTGATTTGATGTTAGTATATATGTTACGGGAAATGTAAACAATGGCCTATAAAGAAGGTCACTGTAGACAACATTTCGCATTTAACCACACTGCCAAATTAACCAAAACTACCCAATGTAGTCATTGTATACATTATCCGGGTATTGCTAACATTGTTCTAATTGTCTACTACTTTACCATATATAATATTGGTGGGTAGTTACATATAAGAATGCATACAACTGCAAATAAATTGGATAATTATAGGTACATATTCATTCTTCAGTATAATGTATTGTATATACGTATATTGCACATTTTAGCAATGGAAGAATTCGCTTTTGACAGACCATCAATAATTTCATAAGTATTTATGACTCAAAATTGTATAATGCAATACAAATATTCCCGAACACACAAAAAAGCAAGAAACCAAGATATGCAATGTGGTACAAGATTGGTGGTACCAAAGTCATCAAAAACAACCCAAAAATGTTTATCAAAAAATTTTAGCAACAAATTGGAGCAAGTTCCAATTTTTTATAAACGAAATTGATCAAAACGTTACAGTTGACTTTTATGTTACACAGAATTTTTATAAGGATTTGCGCAACTTATTTAACTAGTGTTATAGATTTTAACAGATGGAAAGTGTGTATACCTCCTTCGGAGCAATAAACGACAGCGTGTAAATAAACACCCAGCAGAAAGGATTGATGCAGAAACATAAATTGTTAAATTATAGTTGTTCTAGGTGTTAGGGGAGGGAGTTTCAGTATTGCACACCGAGGAGTACCTGCAAATTTGTGTTGTTTTTAATTTTCTGTTATTATCTGAATAACCGGTGTGTTTTTTCCCAGCTGTGAATCCTCACTAAAAAAAATCAGCCGCTCTCTATAATTTACATTAGTGCAATCACTCAATGCTTATCCGTCTATTGAACATTTTTGATTTTCGCGGTTGTGCGTCCATCATTCATAATATCACGATACGACCTTTGTTAATGAGGTAGGTTTTATTTTGATTTATTTCATGGCGACTGTATTACTCAGCATTTTTTCACGTCCATTTGCTAGCAATATTAGGTCATATACCTATACTTCTAACAACTGGAGACACATATCTGATGCCGTGAACTGTGTTAACTACAGTGGATAAAACAAATCTATCGATTTATGCCTACTTATTAAAATTATATTTTCTGTTCATAGATATAAGAAAGTGACCAATTGCATTTGAATGGGTGGTCATTAACATACAATGCAACAAGATTATTACCTAAAGTTTCGGAATTTAAATTCAGGTAAAATTGTGGTCCGTAATAGAAAATAATTTTATACCTACCTGTGTTTACATGTGAATACAGTTTTAGGGCTTCCACCTTACCACTGTATATTTAATCCCATTGAACATGTTTGGCACCAACTGAAATCTGCCATTCGTCGCAACAATGTTTTTCCCCGTGTTAACTCCAATGTCCTCAAACTTATAGAAACCGAAGTTTTTAACATCCCTCTACAAAGTTGGGCAAATTCTGTTAAACATATAGAAAAAGCAGAACAATCCTATATCCATATTGCAAATAATATAGAACAAATAATAATTAGAACAGGCGATGATAGCTATAGTGATACTGATATATTATGTGAATAATTTTATATAATTTAAGTAGATAATAAAAATAATTTGTAATTTTATCTTATATATAAACATAAATATTATAAATAAATATTGTCGAGTATCTTTCCTAACAAAACCCCAAATAATTCGGCCGTATTTCATTCTTACAGCTTAATTCGTATCAGTTAGTCACTTTCTTATATCTATAAACAGACTTTACCTATTGGAGAGTGAATTGAGAAATTTACTATACAGTGTGTCCAACTTAGAATTGTACACCCTTGTAAAATCTTTGTTTATGTTTTTTTTTTATTGAATAGATCTCTCAAAAATCCACCCAAATCTTGTTTTGCTTATCGCTTCAACCTAAAGTCATGGCCAACTGGGACCATTTAACAAAAGAAAGAGCAGGGAGAAGTACTAGTAGGGATTTCTTAAAGAATAAATTGGCAACAATTTTTTTTTAAGAGTGCCCATTCCAATTTCTATCATATTGTAATACAGGGTGTTTGAAATATCCTTTGCGCCCGATTAAGACTCTACATCCTTGAAAATTCTTTGTTTACGGTTTGATTTCGTTTTTTTTTGTATTAAAACCTTTGTCTCAAACTCTCTCTCAAACAGTCATGGCCAATTAATTGTTTTAAGGCAAAACTGAATTTCATGAAGCTCGAATACAGGGTGCACGAAATATCGCGGGCGCCCGGGTTAAGCACTACTCCTGTAGAATGTTTAAGGCTCAATTTTGATCATTCTTTTTTGTTGGATTGAACTTACTAAAAGGCGTTGAAACGGTTATTTTTATATAGCGAGAAGTACTTTAATTGATTTTTTCAAGTTTAAAATGTCAATGTCAAAATAAAATGTCAACAGTAAAAGTATTTTCATTCCTTAGTCGGTGAAGAGAATGAGCTAGTACCTACATTTTACCTTTTAATTACAATAGATTTATTCATACTTGAAAATTTTTGATCATTGTTTTTGAAATTTATATAATTAAGATTTGTTTGTAAGATCTTAAAATCACCCACAAAATAATAGTTATTTTCAAGGGAGATACTTTTAGATAGTTCTCAATCTGTTGTCATTTTAAATTTAAAAAATCCTTAAAACTATTTCTCCATTTTCGGCTTCAAAAACTATATCACTGCCTTTTATTAAGGTCTGTCCAACGAAAAAAGAGAACTGAGCCATAAACATTCTAGAGAAGTAATATTTAACCGCGGCGCCCGCAATATTTCGTTTACCCTATTTTTGTGCTACATAGAGATTAGTAAAATAAGAATTCGTTGACATTTTATTCTCAAAAAAAGAAATCCTTAATAGCCCTTCTCGATATTTGGAAACAAAAAATAGTCCCAGTTAGACATGACTTCAGGGTGAGACAATAAGCAGCATAAGGTTTTAGTACCTTTTTGAGACATATATCAAAATCAAACCGTAAACAAAGATTGTAGAAGGATGTACAACTTTAAGCGGACCACGAACTAAATTTCAAACACCCCGTATTAAAACATGATAGAAAGTGGTATACGTGGTTGGTCATGACTTTGCGTTGAAGCAATAAGCAAAAGGAGGTTTTAGTAAATTTTTCAGAGATCTATCCAACAAAAAAAATCATAATCTAATCATAAACAAAGATCTTGCAAGGGTGTAGAGTTCATAAGTACAATTAATACGTACACATACCACCTGTTTTACTAATATATGCCCAAAAGATAAAAGAATTAGAATACATTAATACATTTTCAGTACTCTTAATGTTAATGTTAACTTTGGAATTGTGTGCGTTACATAAGAGAAGAAAACATTTTCTGTTTACTTTAGAAAATGGAAAAATCGTTGTCTTTAAATTAAAAAGGAAATGACGTACATTAATATGTGTTTTTTTTTTTCTAAATAGCAACATTTCTTCTTCTTCTTACATTTTGGTATTAATGTTGCTTTTACAGAAACTTGTTTAAAGGTCTTAAAGTAATCAAGTTTCTGTATCCGATGGCGCCACCAATTAATTTTCGTCAAATTTGAGCTTAAAATATGATTTTTCTAAAACTGCTCCTTGATTGCAATTCTTTTTTAAACTGTAAAACAAATTATTGTTGTCCAAAGTTGTATGCTTTAGCAGACCAAATAAATGACGTAAAATGTATTCATTAAATATAATTAAAAATGCTTCCAAAATACTATAATTGTTGTTCCTTTCCTTTCACTTAATTGTGCAATTTTCTACAAATCCTATTAGCTACAAAATTTAGATTACTACCTTCATATTCAATGATTAATGTAATTGAATTTATTGTTTACTCCGTTTCACTGGTCCGGTATCTCAAATCGTCTTCAAGTGAATACTAAGTTTATTTAGTATTATTGTTAAGTAAATAATAAGTGATATAAAAAGTAAGTCAAGTAGAATTGGAAAAAAAATTCAAAGGATATTGACTTACTTTCATACATTTGGCAATCGATAACCTAATCTCGTGCTAAGTGTACCAGGCTCGGCTTCAAAAGACAATACCAATATAAAAAATATTAACTTTAAATAGTAGCTACTTTGTAACAATCGCTAAAATGTCTCGTGACGAAGCACGAAATTACCGTGAATAAGTTATATCTAATAATAAAAGTCTTTTGTCGCCTAAAAGGTACATTAATATTTTCCGTTATCATTCAATCATTGTCGGGTCCCATTGTATCTTCGGAAAGAGGATGAAGGAAGACGGGCAAGTCTGACCTCAAGTTACGTCTTCGGTAGTATTTTACCAGTGATTTATTGTATACAGTAAACATCAAAACCGTTAATTGAGAATTAAAGTTAATCGCCAATCACTTTCGCAAATAATGTTTACGGCGTCGTTTAAAGAAACTGTTTAATTTTTTCCAACTTTTAACCGGCGTAAAATATTAATTTATGGTAGGAATTGAATGATAATTAAGGACCACTAGTATTTTGGCTCATCTAATATGATGTTGTGCATACGAAAAAACAGCTGTTCATGTTTTGTTAAGCATCCGCAGGATATATCATAATGCCATCCAGCCCAGCTTTCTTTGTTCGAAAAAAGTGAGGCCATTTCACGTAAAGCGAACATGGGCGAATTGTTTGTTATATTTGATGTTATGTGTGAATATTTTGGTTACTTTAAGGTTCTTCTTTTTATACAAAAATGTGTACAAAAAGCAGCAGTAGATTTTTTTTTAATGTATTCGAAGTAGAATTAAAATTTAAAAAAACGGTGAATCAGCCTGCCTTTTATTAGTATTTGTGTAAACTGTGACTTTTTAAGGGATACATTTCAGTTGATTATAATATTTAATTTGTTTGCGCTAGAACCGTAATGTACATTAAACTATAGAAGTAAAATTTCGACTTATATTTCTAAGCTTTAACATTTTGAAACAGTTTACTACTGTATAAGATTGTAAGATTGGCTTTTAAAGTTTTTCTTGCAACTATTTTAACCATTTAAATTATTGATGTTTATTATTCTTTTCAGTTCATGATGAAAAAAAAAGTGCGCTTTTGTGGTAATTTTATTCGAGAACAAGGAGAAGAAGATCGCCATTTTTTGTACAAGTGCGGAGACAAGTCTACCAACCGTACAAGGAACGTGATTTAGAATGACGAGAAGGCATTGCCAAGAGACTGTATAAACAATACCATAGCAACAAACCGGAAGGCTAAATCATGGACTGTATTTTTCTTAGTTGTTTGGCTCTTAAACATAACTTTTCTCAAGAAACGAATTAACTTTATTGTTTAAAGGACAAGGAGACAGTTTACCTTTCCATGCTCATTATTCTCTATTACTCGATCCTATAAACCAGTAAAAACACTGTACGAAAGTAGACAGCTTGCAGCTTACATTTTTTGTTTAGCGTTTCCTCAGAAATGAATACTGTTTCACTCTTATTTTGTTTTTGTTTTTCATTATTTTTGTAAGTTCATATTTCCAAATTTGTGGTTCGAGTTGTTCGTAATAAATAAGAATTTGTGTCTTTTAGTTTTAGTTTATTAGTTTATTTAGTTTATTCTTCATTGTTATATGTTGTATTTCATTGAACACCAAAGAAGTTGCAGTCGAAATGTTGATTACTTTTCCACACTTGTATGGAAAAAGGTTCACTGTTTCGAATTAACTTTTAGTTTCTGCATTTTCATATGCTAAATATGCTGATGTCTAAAGTAAATTAACACTCACTTTATGAGGGTCAATGTGTTTAAAGACAAAAATTATATCTTTGTAACGCCTACCGAACGAACTATCTAAATGGATTTCTTTGATATGTCCGGTTTTACATATTTTTAGTCAATTAACCCAACAATGAACAATTTTCAGAATATGTAATTTTATGCGATATTCCGTTTCGAGTCTGTTGTGTAAAGAATGACATCATATGAATGAATAAACGCCTCGATTACGTGGTTTTGTATGAATGCCTACATAGAACTTGCAAATAGACATTTCGGGTTGGGCTTTGCCAACGTCCTGTGAAAGATCAACCATTACCAGGTCGTTATTTGCATGAGTTAAAGTCTTTAAACAAGGCGTGCTCCTTTCTGAATGTTCAGAAAACTGTTAACAAAAATGAATTATGTTTTCTAGCCGGAAAAATCTTGTTTTCACATCTCTTTCGGCGAGACATTTTCTCTAATATAATAACACGTAAATGCCGATACGTATTACCATACCGCCGTCCCGCGTTAAGTCGACTTTACATAAAACTAAAATAAAATAGATTTTTTCCTAGATAACACGTTCAGACGGCGGCAACAGTTCTAACCTTTGGCCTCTCCGCCAACCAAAGATTCAGCGTTCATTTAAAAGTCATGAAGGTTATTTTGTCGACAAAAAAAAAAGAATATAAAGTATCGGAAAATGTTGATGTTGAATGGTTCGATCCAAGACATCTGATAGTTGCTCGCCACAATTAAGGTATTGTACAGTATGTTTAAAAGTGTTTGCAGGAGTTGAGAAGGTCTTTCAAACCGATGGATTATGTTTATTTTTCAAAACAATGACAAACCATTTTCTTTTAAATTGGGGATCTTGCCTATATTTTTTGACATAGCGATTGGTGATGATAATAATTTTCCGAAGGGTCTTGGTAACGCAGAGCTGAACTGTGGTTTGATCTCCGTAAGCTTAACTTGGCTACTCTTGGCTCTCTAAGGAACCTTTAGCATTATAATAATATATGTCTCGCATTATGGCATTATGGCCCACTGTAATTCTCTAGACGACCACAAGGTTTTCAACTTTATTATATTGTCTTTGTCCTGGACTCTTTAAGGGTATTCGTAATCAGAACCTTTCATCTGCATAACGAAGATCGAAAAAACACTCACATTCATTACCATAGCATTCTATTCCAGTTTTCCATTATTATTGACTCACAGTAGATGTAAAAAGTAAAAAGAACACCGCTCATCGAACTCATCCCAAGGAAACATGATCTTTTTTTAAAGTTCGTAAAATGATGCGGCTTTGGATCTCTTCTATGCATGCGTTCTTGTATTTTCAGTTAACAGCCTCGATTATCTGAGTTAAGAAGGCTTTTTTCTTTCATCTATAGGATTTCGTAATGTTGCGATCAGAGGTGCTTATAGAGCATTGGTCAGGTAGCTTCAGAATCTTTCTCTGCTCGTTGCTTCGTGAGCATCAAGGGAGGGAGAATATAGCTAGCCAGTATATTGACCAAATATGCCCACTAAATTTTCATGTCTTATGTTGAAAGCGTGTTGGATACGAGATGGTAGCAAAGTTTCGAATGTTCAGTGTTGAAAAGTTCGCGTAGAATCGGGTACGGCCAGGCGCAAGTCGTTACGAACGGACCCGCCAACAGAGAAGTCACGTCCAGAATAAATTATACGTGACAGATAAATTAACAGCACTTGTAGAACATAACTAACAATTTTCATAGGGATATCAAATTTAATACTTATTTTTTCTACTCAATTCTGTAAAATATCTAATCATACACCGATCTAGCATGCGAAAAGTGTCACTTTACCACGTCAGATTCTTATCCGACGGATCCGAAACCTTTCCGATATTTCCGGGATATGACCTCGCAGGTTTGGGAACAATCGGATGTTTTCAAAGATTTTACGGCACGACTTGAATTTTGACGGTCATGTCAGTGAATGTATTCGTGTTGTTTTGCGAAAATGTACCCAAAAACTAACGGTCATAGAAAAAATACAGTATGCAACACATTTGGTAAACTTTTTAAGTCACTTGTTTATTAAACACTCGCTCCGCTCGTGCCAAATAAACTCGTAACTCAAATGCCGAACACATCCGATTGCTCAAAACCCATACGCTACTATGTCGGAAATGCCCGAAGTGGCTCGGGTCCGTGAGACAAGAAACTCATGTGGTCAAGTGACGCTTCTCGCACACTAGATCGGTGTATAATTACATGGTGCAAGGAATGTCGCATTTTATAACGTCATTTAATCCTTTGCAGGTTGTAGGTTAATAAATAATATATGTACATCGATTTTATTTGAAAAATGTATATCAAAAGGTTATTGGAAAAATATATATCAGATGTATAGGAACAAAATCTCAAGCATCAAGAAAGCTTGTAGAAAATGGTGTATTCATTTTAAGGAAGGAACAATACAGCCATGAGCACTTGCAGGATTAAATACAAGACAGGAATTTTAAGAGTTGCTCGAGGGAAGCATGTGTAAACGAGAAAGAGGACTGAAAGAACTTATACAATAGACTTGCGACAAAGTAAATAAATTATTAGTATTAAGAATATTTGTAGAAATTACACGGTGCCACTGAAATCATGTAGGTATTAATAAATTTCATTTATGTTAATGTAATTTTAAAAATGTTAGTTAAACTCAGTATGTTCTTCTATGCGGAGGTGGAAGCGATCGAATATTGCTTTAGAACTAGAAGATTTGAGTTCTGGGAGCAAGCGAGGGGCCTAGATATTTGTTGGTTTATACAGTGTGGTACAAAAACTTGGCATCAGCCATTTTTCCCATAAGTCCTTGTACGAAAGAATTCAAATTTGGGAGACAGGTTTAAAAGGATTAGACCTTGGTTTGTGATATTAGCCAAATTGTCAGATCTATGTTCATCAAATATGGGCATAAAATTTTGAATTTTTCAGAGACTAGGAAGTATTTTATATTTTTTCGGAAGATAGCCTCCATCTTTGTATACGATAATAGAAGCCATCAATAAATGTTAAATAACAATATATATTTCAAACTGGCTGTAGATGTATGACCTTTCTTTTCACTTTTTGAAGTCCTAAATAAATACATTTGACGTTTATTAAAAATTACTGGTAACTCCTTGTAAGGTGTATTACGGTAGAGGTTAACTTTACCATAAAAATACAAAATTTTATTCTGAAAATTGTAAAAGAGACTAGGGATAGGGGGCCATAAATGTGTGTTACCCCGAGGTTAACTCGCAACTGACTGGGACAAGATGTACAGTGAATCCAGTCACTTCATAATCGGTTTCATTCCCATCATCAGGTGTAAACCCTACCTATTGCGCTAAAAAATTAATTTTCACTTGTCAATTTTGAAAAATTCTGTACAGAGTGGTTCACTTTGTGGTTAATTTGTTAATTTCTTTAAAAAATTCTGTACAGAGTGGTTCACTTTGTGGTTAATTTGTTAATTTCTTTGAAAAATTCTGTACAGAGTGGTTCACTTTGTGGTTAATTTGTTAATTTCTTTGAAAAATTCTATACAGAGTGGTTCACAATTCCTTACTTATAGGATAAGTAAGTTTTGTATTCCAGATGGAAAAAAGCCAAAAATACTGTAGCAAGGTGCTTGTTTAATAGATGAAGTTGTCAGTGTTGTCATTCATAAAATATAGATAAATTCGTTTTGGTAGACGTCAACTTTTATCTTAGTTGTTGGCTGTAATAAATAATTGGCGATAACGATGAAAAAATATTCAAAAAGATAATCTCGGGCTAATAAAAAATATTCTTTTGAATACGGGTTGCAGTGGCCTTCAATAAAATTAACCTAAATTTACCTATACTTGGCGGAAACAATAATTGATGATTTGTATGGGAATTCCTATGTGCCATGTGCGGATTAAGCACACAATATGTACGTCCCGTATCTTTAAAACAACCAACATTTTGCTAATTTCTATTCTAGTTATGGTCTGTTCATAGATATAAGAAAGTGACCAATTGCTTTTAAATGGGATTATCCAAGGGTGGACATTAACATGCAATGCAACAAGATTATTACCTAAAGTTTCGGAATTTAAATTCAAGTAAAATTGTGGTCCGTAATAGAAAATAATTTTATACCTACCTGTGTTTAATATTCTTTGGTTTGCTATACTACTTAGTTTAAGTTTATTGGTAATCATTCTTATTTCGTGTGTAACACAGCGTGTGTTGAATCGTGTGCGAATTATGCAAAATATGTGCGAGTAATTAGGAGGCTTGAAAAAGATAAAACCGGTGTTAAATGTGGCAGAACTACCTTATGGAAGTATGTATATTCAACACATGGGTTTTAGATTTTAAAAAATTGACAAAAGGCAAGTTTTAATTGAATCTTTTAGAATTCGGAAATGGCGACTGGAATATCTAGGAAAAATTAGGATTTACGGAGAACAACAAAGGCCAATTATTTACTTGGATCAAACCTGGTTCGACGCCGCTTATGATACCCCGGAAAAGGGTTGGGTTGACCAAACTGATAAGTGTAAAACAAACGCGCCATCAAAAAGAGGTAAAAGAATAACTATTTTGCGTGCTAAAGATGGTTGGATTCCAAATGGACTTTCTCTGTCTGCGAAAAATATTAAAGATTCTTCTCTGGATTACCATGAAGACACCACCGCTGATTTATTTAAAAGTTGGTTTAAAAACAAACTATTTCCAAACATTTCTCCTAATAGCGTAATTGTAATAGACAATGTAAGTTATCACAGTAGACAGTTGACTAAAACCCCTTTCTTATGCGACACAAAAGCGACATTCCAAAACTACATGTATAATGACGACATTTATTTTCACGAAGATTATACCAAAAAGCAATTAATTGAGGTTCTACAAAACTTGAACCTGCAAAAGGAATACGTCTGTGATAATTATGCAAAAAATCTATGGCATACAGTTTTAAGGCTTACACCTTACCACTGTATATTTAATCCCATTGAACATGTTTGGCACCAACTGAAATTTGCCATTCGTCGTAACAATGTTTTTTCCCAATGTGGTCAAACTTATAGAAACCGAAGTTTTTATCATCCCTCCACAAAGTTGGGCAAATTCTGTTAAACATATAGAAAAAGCAGAACAATCGCATATCCATATTGCAAATAATATAGAACAAATACTAATAGGGACAGGCGATGATAGCGATAGTGATACGGATATATTATGTAAATAATTTTAAGTAATT